GATTTTCCAGCAGGACAACGACCCAAAACATCGTTCAAAGCATTCACAGGCCTGGTTTCGGACCCAAAATATGACATTATTAGATTGGCCAAGCTATAGCCCTGACCTAAATCCAATAAAAAATGTTTGGGGACTTATGAAGGAAAGTGTCAATAAGAAAAATCTGACAAATATTGCTGAAATGAAAGAAGAGGTGGTCCGATATTGGGACAGCATGGACCACGACTTTCTAACTTCTTTGATCAGTAGTATGCCCCGCCTCATTGAAGCCTGCATTGCTGCCCATGGTGACTTGACAAAATACTAACTGTTCACCTGTCTTTGAATCTGGAGTTATGTTCTGCTAATATTCACATTTAATACGTGAGTAATGAGTGAAAATTTTTTAAAATTACAATCTTTAAATTCTCAATAATTTCTGGTTGTACTGTATATCTTATCTGTTTTTGTTTCACTTATACTGATATAGCTATCTGCCTCCTACTTTTCAGTCACCCGATGGATGAGTAAGAATATACTCCGAAAGGTCGTGTTTCTCGTATTACAGAAACTGACAGCCATACATTTTCACATTTTATGTTCAAAGCTGATGAAGGGAGGACACATATTAAAACAGCCGAGAACAGCATGGTCAAGAACAGAGGACAATTATGGTCATGATCAAGAACAGAGGACAATGATGTACATGGTCAAGAACAGAGGACAAGTATAATCATGGTCAAGAACAGAGGACAATTATGGTCATGATCAAGAACAGAGGACAATGATGTACATGGTCAAGAACAGAGGACAAGTATGGTCATGGTCAAGAACAGAGGACAAGTCTGGCCATGGTCAAGAACAGAGGACAATGATGTCATGGTCAAGAACAGAGGACAAGTCTGGCCATGGTCAAGAACAGAGGACAATGATGCACATGGTCAAGAACAGAGGACAAGTATGGTCATGATCAAGAACAGAGGACAATGATGTACATGGTCAAGAACAGAGGACAAGTATAGTCATGGTCAAGAACAGAGGACAATTATGGTCATGATCAAGAACAGAGGACAATGATGTACATGGTCAAGAACAGAGGACAAGTATGGTCATGGTCAAGAACAGAGGACAATGATGTACATGGTCAAGAACAGAGGACAAGTATAGTCATGGTCAAGAACAGAGGACAATTATGTACACAGCCGACAATATAGAACAAATATGTACAAAATATACATTGCGTCAAAATTTGAAATATGCTAAAGCTTACTGGACATTTATCGGGAAAGACGAGGAGTACTAATCTAGGAATTCACTTCAGACCTCACGCTGACATCCTGGAAACGTCCCACTCTGTTTATACCTTCATCCGCCTGTCTTGCTTTATAACTAGCTTAATGGAATTGCGCTTTTATCAATCTAGATAAGTATTAAGCTATTTCAGATTATTGAGAACAGAACTGGAACGTTAAATGTGAAAATTCCTTCTCTCGTTAGCTGACAAGTGGTGTGATGCCGACATCTGCCTGTCCTTTGATATCTGTTAAATGACTTACCACAAGCTAATACCCTCCCGTATAGGGCATAAAACGTCATTCAAATGGCAAAATGTCCTAACAAAGAAAATTAGTTCCTTGATTGTGTAGAGGTTTTGCCTCCAAGGGACAATGTATTGACACGGGGGAACCGTGACATGGGTTAACGATGACGACACCGAGTAATCTGATTACTTTATTGTCATATGGCCGGATAGTATCTTAGATATAGCGCGAAAAGGCAGGCCCCAATTATATGATGCGTCAATATAAAGCAAGAAGAAAATATGTACAACAGAAGAAAATTGGGTTTAAGATCTCCTTTAAAAAAGTATTATGTCATTGAGCGGATCTTGGAATTGACCGTACTGATTACTCCGTGAGAATGTGTTTAAAACAAGGATCACAAGTGGGAAGCATCTTCGTACCGGGACGATACCCGGGTATCTTACCACGGATTTAGGGGACAATTATGTAAAAGAAACTGCAAATATTTACATTTACAAATTCTATTCATGATATATGTATTTTCATACACCTGAATTAGTGTAACAGAAGCTGTTGTAATCATATGTTTGGCGTAAATCGGGTTCACCTTGTGATATATTCTACCAGACGAGCCAACACTTCCACCTCTAGTACACTGTTATTATGTGTTGATTACCAAGCTGACATTAACATACTAACCGAGAATCAGTAAAAGAACCTTGGTATAAAACCATCAAACAATAACGAAATGTGCTGACACTAACGAATGTATTCTCAAATTGATTAAGCTCAACTACAAGGAAGTATAACACGAGAGCAGCGATTATAGCAATAGTGAGAATGATGGTGATATTCACTTGTCAGGAACAGCGCTAGGCAGTGAGTATCTAGAATATGATCATCACACACACTTGAGATGTAATGTGAGGTGAGGGCCAATGGTCAGCTAACGTATTATACACAAGAATAAGATGCTAGAAAAGTCTACTCTTAGACAGATCTTTGTATACTATTCTGTGGGTCAGAAGACGGTAAAAGCCTCTAGACAGTTTAGGTAACATGCATAACAGTTGCACAAGGTATAACACTGTCTCATTACAATATTTCATTAATGACAGTGTTACCTTAATTAATATTCGTCATGTATGCAGTAATGTATGCTTAGTCTATTCAAGAAATACACTGCATCAAGATCTCCATGTTCGACTATAAATAAGTAAGTTTGCTTATATATGTTATGGAGCTTACACAGGTCTTGCTGACCCCTTACTCAGTATGTATGTATCCACCAGACCGTATGGAAAAAGCGCAATGTTAAAATCGTTTACATTATCTTGGATAGTTATTTTTTTAACGTGCCGCAGAATAATGTCTACGTGACTGACCGCCATTCACAATACAATCAGAAAGAACATTCTTCTTATTCTCAGAAAATGATTGAGACAAATGGAATCAACACAGTGTGGACTCTCAAAAACTAAAAAAGAATACTGGCTTGGTTTTTGCAATCTCAGAAAGTTGTAATTCAGTAAAAAGACAATACAATTTCCAACCTTTTCACCACATTGCCTGACTGCAAACTTTACAGAAAACATTTAATTTTGATCCATAAGGAACTTGTCATGTAAAGAACGTTTCAAAATTCAAAATCAGCGATCAACATGGTGTCCCTTGCAAATCCCTATTTTGAATTAAACCACCTTTCTCCCTGGTGTTGAGGACCTTCACTTTCCTTGGCATGTATTTGTGATGAAAACATATACTCACCTTTCCGCGAATACCCGGCACAATCTTTATTAGACATGCTATCTGTCTGTCTGTCTGTCTGTCTGTGTGACCATCGACCCACCCATATATTTGCCTGTATGCATAATTGATAAAATCTCGTTCTGAAGTTTTGCTACATTAATCGATCGACTCGTGTTGACATACTAAATATCAAATAACACTCCTTTGAGTGTCTCTATGTATCCATATATCAATCTAGACCCTCTCTTCTCCTGTGAAGCGTGGCGCAGATATTATATTTCTCAGTGAAACACAGTAGTTAATAATAGATAACTTTCAATACCAACAGAGACCGTCGCTTGTCGGCTCTGTAGAAGTGGTTGTAGTGAGGTAGACACTATGCCGGCAAACTACAAGCAGGTGATCATTATCTGGGTCTCTTTCCTTTTAAACTGTTCTGGAGGCGGGCTAGCATAGTGGGTACAGCGTTCGCTCCAAACGTAGACATTCGCTTCCCAACATGGTTCTAAGTTCAGTTCTTTTGAATCATTTTTAAGCGGCGCAAAACTATACTCAGTCACTCGTCTATCTGTGTGAGTGAGTGAGTGAGTGAGTGAATAGGTAAGTAAGTTTCTAACATCCCATATATATGATGATAATGTTAAAAAAACTATTTATTAAGTTCGCTTTTTTATAGTGTTCAGCTGCAAAGCTCATTTTCCTGACATCTGCCCTCTGTTTCAACAACCGTCGTAGCCTGTAGTCAACTGTCAGAGCCAAACATTTAAAAATAATTACGCTTGAAGTTTATGCTTGAAGCTAAATTTAGAAAACTCTGTTCCACAAAAGTGTCGTTGAGTTATTATGCAGTTTTTAAAAGGAAGCAAGTAAATTGTATGTAGTTGTCGGTTCACCCTAACTCAGTGAAGAATGGAGAAGTCACTTGTAGGATAAGATGATTAGATACTTTCATTTCGTTTGCAAAGTTCCCGCTGATGTGATGACGTATGTGGCACTGATAGCGCCGATGACGCCGATGAGGCCGCCAGCGATGTTGTGGATGTAGGTGGGGAAGTAGTCAAATATGTCACCTCACTCCCCCTTCAGACTCAAGCACCAGTCAGATTCTACTTATCTCTTGACTTGGAAAACCTACATTGAAACATTCAGATGAGTGTTTAAACATGCATTATGTGTTCTTCAATTTCACCGTCCAATATATATGGTAATTTCAAACTAGCACCTTTAAAAAGGACGTCATAATTTCTTATAATAAACTGACGGAAATGTGTAATTTAGAAACACGTTTCATAATGAAAACCATGTTCTTTGTATTCAAATCCTGTCTGTTTTGATGAAATAATGGCAAAAAAGATGCATTGATTTCTTTAGAAGCCAGTAATCTAATTGCTGTATCAAAGCAAACATACGGTTCTGAGAATTCATGGCGGCTGTTAGTTTTGTTACCTCGTCAGATTATTGAATGAACATACATCAACGAAGAATCGGCACGACCCTCTTCCTCTTGCCTTGTCTAGGTTTGTTTTACTCCCGATCACCAAAAGACTCTTGTAAATACACTGACGGCAGTTGCACAGAATAGAGACCCATCAAATTTAAACCTTATTTGGCTATTCGTCTAAACACGTCCAGTTGGGAGACCAAGTCCCGCCCAATCAATGAGCTCTTGGATGTCCCTTCCTCAGCATTGGTTCCCGTCGACTTACAGCGACTTCAGTAGCGAAAGCAACGAGTGGCTATTTGAACAAGCTAACTTGGGGACCGGGCACCTGATTATTTGATGACGGGCTTGAAACAGGAAGGCTATTGTGTATCGTTGAGATCTGATCAATTTTCCTTTTCTAAGTAGTCTGTGAGTTTGTGTGTGCGGGTGTAGCAGTCTTGTGGGCGGAGAGCTACATAAAGTCGGGGCAACTGTAGCATCGGTCCTTACAAGCCAAGCCGGGGAGAGATAACACGCCTACAGCAAGCAGAACATCACAAACTTCCCTCTCTATCTCAAACGCTGTAGATTATCGCAAACATATCAACTCATTTCTTTGGAACTTAGCAACCATCAGGTAAGTCACTTTTCTTACTTTGGGGCAAAAATATTTAACATGTAATGCTTTTGTATTGCTATGGATGTGATGCATCGTGCATTCATATCGGGCAATTTGTAGATAGTTTATCGTACGGGTATTCTCGTTATGCCTATTTAAATAAGAATGCAATTGTGATTGTTCACATAATTAATAGGTTTTCTTCTTCTTCTAATTATTGTGATTAATACGGCTGAAAATACGCATTGACGATATTAATAAAATTAGAAATTATTCATTAGTTTTCATCCGAAAATTTGAACTATCCTGTTGTTTTAATATCAGCTGATCACTACAGACGAGGTATACTGTTAAATATTACTGATGTGAATTGCCTATATTTGTGAGAGCTAATGAAATCACATTAAAGTCTCAAGTAAAAGATACAAATATAAAAATATATTTTGCATTGATCTATGGTCGCTAATGACATTTAGAAATATGTCACGAGTAAAGGGCAAAACTGAAATGCGAAAGAAACTAAATTGTTCACATAACCTGCCAGCTAAATACAGTGATATTAAAGTGCTTGAGGAGCGCCGTGGTTCTGAATTTTATACGGAGAGAGAACCTTGTCTTATCCAAACTTCAAGTTGAGAGGAATTATTGCAAATCTCTCAGCGCCGATATTGAAGGAGACAAACACGTATTTACTGTCTTCCCGTCCTCAGTTATTACATTTATGTGTCCTTGAAACAGTTCACATGTTTGAAAGATAGATTGAAAAGACGTCTGTAGTTATATCAGATAAATATAACGTTAGATTACACGCACTAGATGCAGCTTGTCATTTCTATAAAGTTGTTGTGTCGACGTCCAGACGTTACCTGGCTACACTTGATACTGTGTAGTATTTGAGTATTACGACCTGCTGTTTGTGTTGCGACTGGTGGAGGGTAGTTGTGACATATTTGCGATATTGATTTCCCTCTGATGAGGTTCGACTGCGCGGCCGCATCAACTTCGTCAAACCGCGACAACTTCTACACTTGCGTCTCTGTCCGGAGTAGACAGGGTGCAACAGCAACGTGGTTTACTGTACATTACGACCACCCTACCATTACAACCGCCGTGCAACCTCGCCACTATCACAACCCAGGTCCTACTCTAACTTACAGCTCAAACAGCATGTACAGTTTAAGCTTCACAAACTGTCCTGCCGATATCCCATCCCGATAACTTGCAGACCCTTCCAGAGTGTACGGTAATTGTCTACCACTAACCCTGCCATCGATCTAACAGCGGTAATTATGTCACCACTGAAATACAATTACCCATCATAATAAACAATAAGTGAATTTTTCAATCACACTATCTAGCGTCTCTGTAATATATATCTGGTGTAGATCTGTCATGATCAGAGGAGCATGATATAGAGACGCAGGACACGTGGGGGAACCAAACTCACACAAACCTAATAGACGTGGAACTCATTGGATACGCTTATCGTAATTGCTTTTTGATTTGTTATATGATTAATGACGAACGATATGCACTTGAGACTATCTATGACTGGCAGCACATCCCTCCCTGTCCAACAGGAGTATACGTGCCCATCAGATCTAGAGCAACTGCTGTCATATTATTAGTGTTATTACTATATTATGATTGTGTATCCAAACAAATGAAAGGATTGATATATTTAGAGGAGAACTGTACCCTGTCCCAATGAATGATCTTTGCTTTTCAACTACCATGACTTCAATATGTCAACACTGACGATTTTTCACATGAAAAAAGAAAAAACATGAATAATGAAGGCTGGTGATCTGACCAGTGGTCTAAGGAGAGGCCCATTCACGGACTGAATTCTCCGGTACCAAACCTGGTCCGATACTTGGTCAGCACATAGCGTGGGCTTTATCAATGCGGATTGCGTTATGTGGCCATCCCTGTAGGAGTCTCTCCACATTAAACAGGCTGTGGTAGACAGGGAGTGAGTGAATGAGTGCGTTAAAATAGGGAGTGAATTGCAAACAGAAGTCTTGCAGCTTCTTCTGGACTTAAACATCCAGTATGTCTACATGTCGTCTCATACGTGTCTCACAAAACGCACATTGTTGATGGTTCCAGTTAAGTCCCAGTGGTGCTCCATAAATAATTGTGAAATTAGTTGTATCAAGGATATGGAAATAAGCCTGTTAAATATACATCATATCAGATATATACACTAGACTAGTTAAACATACCCAATATCAAAGATCGACAATAGATCAGATAAAGTTACCCAGTAACAAAAATAGACTCAGGACGTGTTTAATATACCGCATATCAATTATTTCCATGTGACAAGTATGATACACTACATATCAATGATATGCTCCAGGCTAGTTAAATATACCTAATATCAAAGATCGTTAATAGACCCGTTAGACCAGCTCCGATAACTCAGGAGCAAAGATAGATGCTAGACATGTTTGATACATCTCATATCAAAGATAGACAAAAGACTTGATTGATATACATCATATCAAAGACATACAATAGACTAGTTTCAAATACATCATGTCAAAGACTGACTGAGTTTGGTTTTACGCCGCTTTTAGCAATATTCCAGCAACATCACGGCGGGGACACCAGAAATGGGCTGCACACATTGTACCCATGTGGGGATTCGCTTTAACCATTAGGCTACCCCACCGCCCCTCATGTCAAAGATATGCACCAGACTAGTTTAATATTCCTCGCATCAAATGCGTACAACAGATCAGTTTAATTAACCCAGTAACAAAGTTATGCATGTAATTAAATGCACCCTGATTAGAAAGCCACCTGTAAATCCCCTTCGGATCCCGTCAATGTGTGTGTGCGTGTTTGCATGTGTGTGTGTGTGTGTGTGCGTGCGTGAGTGTGCGTGCGTGTGCGTGTGAGTGTGTGACTTGCTTCACTGGGAAACCTACTGTTCATGTGGGTAGTTAAAGACGATCATCGAGTCACAGTTAATGGCTTGCAGACTAAATACGTCACAACGGAATTCCGTTTCCGGACACGTCAACACAACAGCACTGAAATATCTGGTAAAACAAACTTTTTGTTATCGTAGACTGTACCTGTCCTTGTGTTTCGCAAAGTCTTCACCGAAACCTGTCACAAGATTGCCGCTAGAGGGTCCAGTTTATTCCTTATACTCAACCTTCAATATAACGCAACCAGTACTGATACTACATGATGGCTAATGTTCTGACCTGGGGATATATTGAAGAAATAACTTTAAACCCAACAGAGAGGATTTCTACAAATAAACCTTTTAGTGATATCCTCTTCTCCGTGGAGAGATGACTTGCTGTTGCAAACGGATGTCAGTTTGAAAGGCATACTGACTACAAAACTGACATAATGGCTAATCTATGTCGAAAATAGCAAGGTGCAAGAGACTTAAGTGATTCCGTCCCTGCATATTTGATGTCGTCGGGGTGGGTATTTGATGTCGTCGGTGTCACTTTTCGTGTGGTTGCTCACATCCCTGTGGACATCAGAACGAGGGTCTCCGGATCCCTAACCTGCTGTGATGGTTACCACGTGTGACGAGGGAAGGCTGCTCCGTGATTTATATCACTCTAACTGAATATATGACTGCTTCAACTCGGAAACTAAGACAAAGGAGACGAGTGAGAATCAATTACAGGCAGGCGGAATACTCTGACTCGATTTCCTGTAATCTTAGAGATCAGCAGCGGTTAAACGACAGTAAGCGTACAGGGAGATAATGTAATAAAGCTGTAGAAAATACTTTGAAATCTGGACTTTGTAGACAACAATTGACATTACGTGATGGCAGATTCGATACTTTAGTATTAAATTATAGGAAGATGGTTTTAAAGAAGGCTGTTAAGGTATTGTTTGATACTTGACTATGTGCATAACCTCAGCCTGTTATACATCAACCTATGGCTCTATGTAAAGAGCTCCTATCTGTTATACAGCAGCCTCTGGCTCCATGTAAAGAAACGCGATCTGTCATATACCACAGCCTCTATCTATGTAAAGAAACGCGATCTGTTATACAACAGCCTCTGGCTCCATGTAAAGAAACGCGATCTGTCATATACCACAGCCTCTATCTATGTAAAGAGCTCATATCTGTTATACAGCAGCCTCTGGCTCCATGTAAAGAAACGCAATCTGTCATATACCACAGCCTCTATCTATGTAAAGAAACGCGATCTGTCATATACCACAGCCTCTATCTATGTAAAGAATACCCGATCTGTCATATACCACAGCCTCTATCTATGTAAAGAATACCCGATCTGTCATATACCACAGCCTCTATCTATGTAAAGAATACCCGATCTGCCTTCGTGGGGACTTATACCAATCTTAGCGCTGGGATGACTAGGTCGTGGAAGGGAACGACTTCCAACTGTCACTGTCACGTTCACGTAAAGTGGAATTACAGTAGAATTACCAAATATTCATACCGCAAACAGTTCAACCTCTGTATCAGACAATCTCTATGGATATTAGGGTGTAGTGAGAGATAATGCCAGTACGACATGCATGTCATTGGTATAATGGTATTTGTATAATGTTGTGGTGTTGACAGAACGTGTGTCGGGTATGTGTCGGGTATGTGTCGGGTATGTGCCGGGTATGTGTCGGGTATGTGTCGGGTATGTGTCGGGTGCGAGAAGAGCAGCTTGGTAAACTGAGTATTTCTACTTTATATTCTGCCCACAGCCCTGCGTTTGGCAAATGATGCAGCTGTAATTAGGAGAGACATTTGTAACAGGCAGAACATCGTGTACACACAGACCAGGAAGATACGTCACTCGTTAGTCTTGGAGGGGAATCAAATTTCACTCGGCAAACCAACTGATTCAAAGTTTAACTGTCTGCTTAAAGAAAATGTCAGCGTTTCATAAGTTGTGAAATTAGTTTGTATGTAGGCAGGGTATTGTGGCCGTGACCAGATGTTTGTATGTAGGCAGTGTATTGTGGCCGTGACAAAATGTTGCCCGTTGTCTCGATTGTTTGGT